TTAACTAAAAGATTATGCACTAAAATACATAAATACCATAATAATAAATAAAATAAATCTTAAATATGGGGTTAAATGAAGTTAATTAAGGAAATATTTACAAAAAATTGAGTTGAGAAAAAAAAACTCACTCATGGAATCGCCCTAATATAGACATAAAATCAATATTTTTTGAAAATAGCCTACTATGATCGAAACCATAAATGCTTTAAATTGCATTTCAAAACATATCTAGGTATTATAAATGATAAAGAATGCTAATATAGACATAAAATCAATATTTTTTGAAAATAGCTTTCTATGATCGAAACCAAAAATGCTTTAAATTGCATTTCAAAACATATCTAGGTATTATAAATGATAAAGAATGCTAATATAGACATAAAATCAATATTTTTTTGAAAATAGCCTACTATGATCGAAACCAAAAATGCTTTAAATTGCATTTCAAAACATATCTAGGTATTATAAATGATAAAGAATACTAATATAGACATATTATCGATATTTTTTGAAAAAGCCTACTATGATCAAAACCATAAATGCTTTAAATTGCATTTCAAAACATATCTAGGTATTATAAATGATAAAGAATACTAATATAGACATATTATCGATATTTTTTGAAAAAAGCCTACTATGATCAAAACCATAAATGCTTTAAATTGCATTTCAAAACCTATCTAGGTGTTATAAATGATAAAAAATGCTAATATAGACATAAAATCAATATTTTTTGAAAATGGCCTACTATGATCGAAACCAAAAATGCTTTAAATTGCATTTCAAAACATATCTAGGTATTATAAATGATAAAGAATACTAATATAGACATAAAATCGATATTTTTTGAAAATAGCCTACTATGATCGAAACCAAAAATGCTTTAAATTGCATTTCAAAACATATCTAGGTATTATAAATGATAAAGAATGCTAATATAGACATAAAATCAATATTTTTTGAAAAAAGCCTACTATGATCGAAACCATAAATGCTTTAAATTGCATTTCAAAACCTATCTAGGTGTTATAAATGATAAAAAATGCTAATATAGACATAAAATCGATATTTTTTGAAAATAGCCTACTATGATCGAAACCAAAAATGCTTTAAATTGCATTTCAAAACATATCTAGGTATTATAAATGATAAAGAATACTAATATAGACATAAAATCGATATTTTTTGAAAATAGCCTACTATGATCGAAACCAAAAATGCTTTAAATTGCATTTCAAAACATATCTAGGTATTATAAATGATAAAGAATACTAATATAGACATAAAATCGATATTTTTTGAAAATAGCCTACTATGATCGAAACCAAAAATGCTTTAAATTGCATTTCAAAACATATCTAGGTATTATAAATGATAAAGAATACTAATATAGACATAAAATCGATATTTTTTGAAAATAGCCTACTATGATCGAAACCAAAAATGCTTTAAATTGCATTTCAAAACATATCTAGGTATTATAAATGATAAAGAATACTAATATAGACATAAAATCGATATTTTTTGAAAATAGCCTACTATGATCGAAACCAAAAATGCTTTAAATTGCATTTCAAAACATATCTAGGTATTATAAATGATAAAGAATACTAATATAGACATAAAATCGATATTTTTTGAAAATAGCCTACTATGATCGAAACCAAAAATGCTTTAAATTGCATTTCAAAACATATCTAGGAATTTTAATGATAAAGAATACTAATATAGACATAAAATCGATATTTTTTGAAAATAGCCTACTATGATCGTAACCAAAAATGCTTTAAATTGTATTTCAAAACATATCTAGGTATTATAAATGATAAAGAATGCTAATATAGACATAAAATCAATATTTTTTGAAAATAGCCTACTATGATCGTAACCAAAAATGCTTTAAATTGTATTTCAAAACATATCTAGGAATTTTAATGATAAAGAATACTAATATAGACATAAAATCGATATTTTTTGAAAATAGCCTACTATGATCGAAACCAAAAATGCTTTAAATTGCATTTCAAAACATATCTAGGAATTTTAATGATAAAGAATACTAATATAGACATAAAATCAATATTTTTCGAAAATAGCCTACTATGATCGAAACCAAAAATGCTTTAAATTGCATTTCAAAACATATCTAGGTATTATAAATGATAAAGAATACTAATATAGACATAAAATCGATATTTTTTGAAAATAGCCTACTATGATCGTAACCAAAAATGCTTTAAATTGTATTTCAAAACATATCTAGGTATTATAAATGATAAAAAATGCTAATATAGACATAAAATCAATATTTTTTGAAAAGAGCCTACTACGATCGTAACCAAAAATGCTTTAAATTGCATTTCAAAACATATCTAGGTATTATAAATGATAAAGAATACTAATATAGACATATTATCGATATTTTTTGAAAATAGCCTACTATGATCGAAACCAAAAATGCTTTAAATTGCATTTCAAAACATATCTAGGTATTATAAATGATAAAGAATGCTAATATAGACATAAAATCAATATTTTTTGAAAATAGCCTACTATGATCGAAACCAAAAATGCTTTAAATTGCATTTCAAAACATATCTAGGTGTTATAAATGATAAAAAATGCTAATATAGACATAAAATCGATATTTTTTGAAAATAGCCTACTATGATCGAAACCAAAAATGCTTTAAATTGCATTTCAAAACATATCTAGGTATTATAAATGATAAAGAATACTAATATAGACATAAAATCAATATTTTTTGAAAATAGCCTACTATGATCGAAACCAAAAATGCTTTAAATTGCATTTCAAAACATATCTAGGTATTATAAATGATAAAGAATGCTAATATAGACATAAAATCAATATTTTTTGAAAATAGCCTACTATGATCGAAACCAAAAATGCTTTAAATTGCATTTCAAAACATATCTAGGTATTATAAATGATAAAGAATACTAATATAGACATAAAATCAATATTTTTTGAAAATGGCCTACTATGATCGAAACCAAAAATGCTTCAAATTGCATTTCAAAACCTATCTAGGTATTATAAATGATAAAGAATACTAATATAGACATAAAATCAATATTTTTTGAAAATAGCCTACTATGATCGAAACCAAAAATGCTTTAAATTGCATTTCAAAACATATCTAGGTATTATAAATGATAAAGAATACTAATATAGACATAAAATCAATATTTTTTGAAAATGGCCTACTATGATCGAAACCAAAAATGCTTTAAATTGCATTTCAAAACATATCTAGGTATTATAAATGATAAAGAATGCGAATATAGACATAAAATCAATATTTTTTGAAAATAGCCTACTATGATCGATACCAAAAATGCTTTAAATTGCATTTCAAAACATATCTAGGTATTATAAATGATAAAGAATACTAATATAGACATAAAATCAATATTTTTTGAAAATGGCCTACTATGATCGAAACCAAAAATGCTTTAAATTGCATTTCAAAACATATCTAGGTATTATAAATGATAAAGAATGCGAATATAGACATAAAATCAATATTTTTTGAAAATAGCCTACTATGATCAAAACCAAAAATGCTTTAAATTGCATTTCAAAACATATCTAGGTATTTTAATGATAAAGAATGCTAATATAGACATAAAATCAATATTTTTTGAAAATAGCCTACTATGATCGAAACCAAAAATGCTTTAAATTGCATTTCAAAACATATCTAGGTATTATAAATGATAAAGAATACTAATATAGACATAAAATCGATATTTTTTGAAAATAGCCTAATACTATGATCGAAACCAAAAATGCTTTAAATTGCATTTCAAAACATATCTAGGTATTATAAATGATAAAGAATGCTAATATAGACATAAAATCAATATTTTTTGAAAATAGCCTACTATGATCGAAACCAAAAATGCTTTAAATTGCATTTCAAAACATATCTAGGTATTTTAATGATAAAGAATGCTAATATAGACATAAAATCAATATTCTTTGAAAATAGCCTACTATGATCGAAACCAAAAATGCTTTAAATTGCATTTCAAAACATATCTAGGTATTATAAATGATAAAGAATGCTAATATAGACATAAAATCGATATTTTTTGAAAATAGCCTACTATGATCGAAACCAAAAATGCTTTAAATTGCATTTCAAAACATATCTAGGTATTATAAATGATAAAGAATGCTAATATAGACATAAAATCGATATGTTTTTGAAAATAGCCTACTATGATCGAAACCAAAAATGCTTTAAATTGCATTTCAAAACATATCTAGGTATTATAAATGATAAAGAATACTAATATAGACATAAAATCGATATTTTTTGAAAATAGCCTAATACTATGATCGAAACCAAAAATGCTTTAAATTGCATTTCAAAACATATCTAGGTATTATAAATGATAAAGAATGCTAATATAGACATAAAATCAATATTTTTTGAAAATAGCCTACTATGATCGAAACCAAAAATGCTTTAAATTGCATTTCAAAACATATCTAGGTATTTTAATGATAAAGAATGCTAATATAGACATAAAATCAATATTCTTTGAAAATAGCCTACTATGATCGAAACCAAAAATGCTTTAAATTGCATTTCAAAACATATCTAGGTATTATAAATGATAAAGAATGCTAATATAGACATAAAATCGATATTTTTTGAAAATAGCCTACTATGATCGAAACCAAAAATGCTTTAAATTGCATTTCAAAACATATCTAGGTATTATAAATGATAAAGAATGCTAATATAGACATAAAATCGATATGTTTTTGAAAATAGCCTACTATGATCGAAACCAAAAATGCTTTAAATTGCATTTCAAAACATATCTAGGTATTATAAATAATAAAGAATGCTAATATAGACATAAAATCAATATTATTTGAAAATAGCCTACTATGATCGAAACCAAAAATGCTTTAAATTGCATTTTAAAACATACATAGTAATTGTCAAAGAATGTTTATATAGATATAAAATCAAGGCTGAGAATTAAAGCCCTCATTACATCTGCCATGTGCTCAATTGGATATTTTGAATTCAAAATGATATCATTTGCTTTTAGATCTTCCAAATCAGTTCCTTTTGAGAACTCATAGATGTTTAGGAATCGGATGTAGATGTTGTCATATGATAAGAGGATTTTCACTTGTTCCGAGTATTTGAGCACTACTCGACTTGAGTTTGTCAGAAAAAATAAATAAATTCTAGCATCTTGATTAACCCTGGCTGTAAATGAAAAATTGCTTTGATGTATTTAAATCAAAATTAAATTCTTGGCGGAAACATAAAATCAAAGATCAAATCAGTTCCAACAACTTAAATCACAATCCATACCTGCAGACTCAATAGAGCATGCGATTCTTGGATTATCAAGTATCCTCATTTCATCCATGTGAGTTTCGATGAAAAATAATTTATTGAACTTTTCACTTTTTAAAATTTCTTCATCTTCTTGAATACTTTTGACAATTAGAGTTTTTGGTTCCATAAAGTCTTCAACATCAACATTTAACAATTTGGTATCCAAGTCAGAATCAGTTGATCATAATAATTCGACTCTTTAACAATTGTGTAGCTTAAATACACTAAGATGCATGATCCAACTATTAGATAACTTAGAGTACCCAAAATTTGACTTTTTGAATTATTATTTATGAATAAAAAGTTCATTTTCTTAAATTTTGAATTTTTTAAATATTTCAATCAATTTTTTGTTTGAACAAAATTCAAGCCTGAAAAGTTTAATATCAACCTTATTATTGAAACTAAATGAATGAAAATTATCATATCTTCATTTCACCATTAAATTATCGACTTAAGCTCATTCTGCTCATTTTATTTTTTGATTGACTAGGTTGTCCAAAAAAAAACTTTAGTATTCATTTTTGAAAATTTGAAATCAAAGATGGAGAATTATGCGGCTTAAATTGAATTGGAGTGATTTAATCGTCAAAGCAATAATATTAAATACTAATATTTAAAATTGTAAAACAAATTTGTGCAGAATCTTAGAAAAACCGACCAAAACGCTAACCTTAACATTTCCCCCATAGGATTTAAAAATGCGCTTTAGTAATTAAAAAATAAAATCATTTGAAACTAATAAACTTGGAGCTAATCTTATCTTACCTTTAATTGCTTATGCATTTATTATTGATTCAATATAAACATAATTAAGATTTATTTGGCTATATTCTCCGGATTTCATTTATCAATCTATTTAAAACAATTAATAATTTTTGAAATAATGAATCACATTTTTATTTCTTAGATCAAGCTCAAGTGACTAGATTAGGTGTGGGCGTAGTTTAGGATTTCAATGCTAATGCTCCTGCAGATTTTAATCTCTTAAACTTTGAATCAAAGTTGTAATGTCATCAAAGGTATGGTTTGAATCTCACATTAAACCATTGAACTCTATCGGAACAGAATCTTCGAGAAAATGCTCCTCAGTTGATGCATTAACAATCGTTCAAAGCATAATCCTTTTAAATTTTCATGAATTTAATTTCCTGAAGATATCAAAACAATAAGTGTAATAACGTTCATTTGAGATTTGAATAATGTTTATGGTAACATAGTTGGTTGCCCCTTTTCATGCAAATATTCAGTCTGATTACGAACTCCGAACAATAACATCGTTATATTATAATTTAATTAAGTCACAATTACAAAACCAAATCTTTAGTTTAATTAATAAATTTTATTATCTAAAATATTTCTCAGTTGTTTTCATGACTTGTGGACAGTATTTTTTGCCTAGTTCAACATAAGTACTATGTCCGCTATAAACAAGCCTAAACTCTTGTTTTGAAAAATTCAACATCTTATTCCAAATATGCAGAAAGTATGGCTGAGTTGCATATAGTATTTCTGTTACATTCTTGTAACTTTCCTCACTGTAGAACATCCAATATCCGTCAAATTCAATTGGATAACACTTTTCAGATGGAAATGTCGTAAAGTTCCCACATATTGTTGTGTTGCGCTTTTCTAAATTCACTCCTTTGCAAAATTGTCTGATTGAGTCTGTGAACATATCTGGTCCGTTGGCTGAGGAATGGAAAATAGGAGATTTTGAGGATTTGTGGATAAGATATGTTGTCCAATTCACTTACCACCCCATTCTTTTGGGCTATAACTAATGCTAAGTTTGCTGTAAAAAATAGAAATTAAATGAAAATTATGTGATTCTTAATGTTAATACAAGGTAGCGTTAAGTATATGAGAAGTAACGCAACTAGATCATACTAGATAGTACAGAAACCAATAAGTTTGAGTTCGAGTCCTCGCCTGAGGACCCAGATACCCATTTTTATAGCATCAAAGATTTGGAACTGATCAGCTGATTCTTGATAAGTTCTTATCATTATTGTCAATTCTAAACTGTTTATATACATTTGAGTCATCCCTCAAAACAAGTTCTAACCTCAATACCATCAAGAACTAAACTTACTGTAAATAAGCTTCCATCACTTCATGGTTTTTATAACCAATATTAACAACAGCATTTGTAACCACATTGTCAGATTCTGGGCATGCAAAATTTTCTTGATTAATTTTTTTTAATGGAACTAGAGACAGCACATCAAGATCCAGGTATGTTCCTCCAAATCTATTCAAAATCAAAATCCTCAGAACATCTGCCATATGTTCAATTGGATATTTTGATTTTAAAATCTTTTTATGTACGAATAGATCTTCTAAAACTGTTCCTTTTGAAAATTCATAGATATTTAGGAACCGGATGTGGATGTTGTCGTATGATAAGAGAGCTCTAGCTATTTCTGAGTATTTAAGCAGCATTTGATTTGATTTAGTTGTTAAGATGAAGAAAATTTGAGTATCTGGATTGGTTTTTGCTAAAAAAAAAAAGAAGGAAACTTAATTATGAACTTATGCTAATACCGAAAAACTTACCAGCAGACTCAACAGAACATGCATGTCTTGGATTATCAAGTATTCTCATCGCATCCATGTGACTCTCAATGAAAAATATTTTCTTATTCTTTTCATCTTCCAAAAATTCTATATCACTTAAAATATTCTCGAGTAACAATGTTTTAGCTTCTAGAAACTGAGCAAGCGATATTTTCATGATTGGCGATGGACTATACAATTGAATCTCCTCTTCACTGTATAAATTTGTAAGCTTATATGTCGCGAGAATAAAAAACAATAAACAAAATGCACCAAGCATGAAATACTGCCAAATCATGCAATCCGGTTTTAATAATTTGTTTGAAAGTGATTGATATCTCATTTTATAGACGTGCTTAGTGCTTTTCCACTTTTGTACTGAGCAAAAATAAAGCAAATGAAATTTATCATCGTTTTATCAGACATAGATAAACTGACGCTAACACAAACTCAGTATAATCGTGTGCAATCAAGGGCGTAGCTACAATAAGATAATAAAAGTCAATAGTCAAAACTTATCGCAATCGAATTTTGGATAAGAATTATTATTGTTTGGTTTGGTATTGACATCTCTAATCTATTATTATCAATCTTCATATGATCATTCCTTTTTGAGGTCGTTCACTTATGACGTCCAACATTCAGAGGAGGAGATAGAGTGGGAAAGGAAGTAGTCTTAAAAATTCATGACAGGGGAGGAAATGGGGTCAGGAAATTTGTGCGTTCAATTTTTTGTGAGAAAGTTTTTTTTTATGTCTATGATTCGACGTCACAAGAGGGGGGGGGGGTGACATCTGTGATAGAGGGTTATCTAAAAAATTATGTTTTTGATGGACGTCATAATTGAACGACCCCTATCATAAATTTTGATTATATTTGATCATTCTAAATAGTTTTGATCAATTCAACACATTTAAAACTTATTATAAACCAGGAATGGCGAAAAGAAATCTTGCCGTTAAATTTGAAAAGATTTGAATCCACACTAACACTATCAAACATTTTCGAAAAGAAAACTTTGAATTTGTTTGTTTAAAATTGCCTTAATTACAACTAAGTCTTTGTTCAGAATATGATTACAAGCTTAATCGAGCATTAGTTGTTATGATTTAGTATCCTGGAGCCAGTTTTGACCGTCAACTTATTGATAAAATGAGAATTTTGCAAAAAAAAAATATTTTATATGGAGTGCGTTTAGAAAATTCAAATTTTGAAATTTAACGAGAAAATAATGAACCTTTTGATTTCTGAACACAGAAATATTGACCATCCCACAATGATTCAGATTTGAAAAAAATGTTCAAATAATCCTTGTGCATAATATTTTTCAGACACATTGAAGTAATGAAATTTTTTATTGATATTCTCTAGTTTAGGACTTTTAATGCCTTTAACCTTACTTGATTATTGATTCCTCAAAATATTAAGTCATGAAATTGAGGATAAATAAGTTTTTTTTTACAAATTTCACAAATGTTTATCAAAAAATTTGGCGCACGATAGTAATTTGTATGAAAAATTAACTAATTTTCAATCGCAAATATCTCGCTTCGGGCATATTTGGGCATGTACACATTAATATGGAAGGTTAATTAGACTTTGTTCTTTATATTTAAATAGGTTTGGTAGAAGCGGAAAGACGCGAATTTAACTTATGAGTGTTTAAAGTCTTGGTAAATTTCAAAAAAATTAATCATGTATATTCGCCCAATTAATAGGTTTTCTTTTGGTTTCTTCACACAAACACAAAGTACTAAGCTTAATTAAGCTGGTTATCAGGATTAAAACAAGAAATTTGAAGTGGAAAGGAGAAAAAATTTAAGAAAAATATTTGTTGTCATTTTGTAAACAAATTTATTGGCATCTTAAAATCGAATTTTTGTGAATTAGACAACAAATTGGAATGTGATATTTTTACAGAACATAAAACACATCATGTTCTTTAATCTGGCATTTAAAACATATAGTTTAATTAACTTGTTATTTTTGAATTTTTGAACATTTTTTTCAAATCTGAATCATTGTGCATCCGCCACTATTGGATTAAGATTTAAAAGTGTACAACAAAGTCTTCAATCAGTTAAGTTCTTAAACTTAATTAATTATTTCAACTCAAAGCATCCAGAAAGACAAATTTCTTTTAAATTACAAAAATGCAAACGAAGTAAAATTACTTGAATTAAATTAAAACATCTACTTCCTCTTATTTCCCTCCATTAAACAAAAAAGCATCAGCATCAAAACACATCATGCCTTACAACTTTCAACTAACAGATTTGTAATTCAAATATGTAAGATTAAAAACTTTTTCAGAAGAATTCTCGTTGCAAAATGCAAATTTTTTTCTACTTCCACATTTTCTGTTCTTTTAAGTAATTTTTTAAGGAAGAAAAACTTTTTCTTTGCATTCGTATCGCAGTATCTGTAAAGAAAATTCTTATTTTTTTATGCGAATTTACACATTGAAAGATGCAAAAGACGAAGCTGAAAAAATTAGAATGCATGAAACATAAAGGAAGAAGATTTTCTGAAAAGATTGAAGGCAAACTATTTTGAAAGTTTTTTTTTGGTGTCCTTTGAATGATTTTATTAGTATTTATGGGGAATGTACTGTAAAATATCATTATTGAATGATTTCAAAGGCTAAATTAACTTCTTCTTAAAAACATTATAAAAAAATATTTAAAATTTCCCACTTACTTTCCAAAAATGATCTAAAAGTCTAAAATCTTAATAATTTTAATGTTTTACATTCTAAAATAAGCTTTGCTCACTTTCTTTGAGTAGTTTACAATCATTTAAATAACTTAAAAGTCTTGACTGAGGTCAAATTTTATAAACAAAATCGTCAAGTGGAAATGTAAACAAATCATTTTTAAACAAACTCGAATTCTTAGAGAAAATTCTCCCAAACTTATCCACAAGAAAAAATTCAACTTCAAACAAATGCATTCACAAAAAAAACTTTCAAGCACAAAAAATTAAAAAAGGAACCAAAAAATTGAATACAATGTTTGCAATTTTCTGTATCTTTCCTTCAACTTCTATGTCTCTTCATTGTGTGATATTGTCTCTTCTATTCTTTTGATATTGTTGTGGTTCCATGCACTCATTCCTTATTTAACTCATGGGAAAAGTTTAAAAGGAAAGTGAGCGAGATGGAAAAAAACTTGTGTACACGAGAAAAAAAAGCAATTTTCAATTCAATTCTTTTTATACTCAACTTACACTTACCGGAAAGATTGTAGAGTTTTGTATGCAAACGTATTGAAGAAGTTTGAGGATGGTTGGATAAAGACGCATCATAGATTGAATCGGATTGACTTCGATTGTATTGGATTAAATTTCCCGCCAAATTTCGATGTTGTTTTGACCTTGGCTACATCAGAACGATCAAAGGTTTAAAGAGTTTCGTAATATGAAGATTCAAAACGTGCAAACAGTTTATGTTGCAACTATAGCTGGAATCAAATCCTTTAATCCCAAGCTAAGAGACAAAACAACCTCAAAACTCCTCTATTTTCATTTATTTCTTATCGAAAAAGTTGCACAGAAGAAACTTTAAACATTTTTTTTTGCATGCAAATAGATATTTCTATACAGCATCTACATTCATTTCATGTCTGCATTAAAAGACTATATTTACACTTCATGATGAAGATGAAAAGATGAAAAAGTTTTTGCAAGTCTTTTTGAATGAGTTTCGTTCTGTGTCAATGAGCAATACAAAATTGAGGATTAAGGCGGAATTAAACTTCATTTTTTAATTTTTATCATAATTTTATTCGTTCATTCAAAAAAAGTTTTAATTAATTAAAAATCTAGCAATAAAGTCTAATCTCCTTAAAAACTGATTCTCGTGTCCACAACACGCGGACAATAAACCTTCGCTAGCTCAACATAAGCAGCCTTAGAATCATAATCTAATTTATATTGTTTGTTATTAAATTCCAACATTTTATTCCAAATATGGATGAAATATCCTCCGACTTGCTTAATCCTATCAAATATTTCGCTGTAAAATTCTGGTTCATAAAATTTTGTGAAACTATTGTGCATTATAACAAAGCATTTTTGATTTGGTATGGCAGTAAGTGCTTCACATTCACCACCTTTGTCCCATACAAGATTTGTGCCATTGCAGAATGATCGAAATGCTGGCGAAATCATGTTGGGGCCGTTAGCTGAAATGGAAATTAATAATGTTTTAATTGAACTAGAAATGGTAATTTGACGACCGAAACCTCTATCGAGGAAGTTTTATCTACAAAATCCCATTCCTTTCATTAAATGGAAAGTCATCACGTTTTCTGCACATCTCCTTTAATAGCTGTTCTCAAAATTATAGCAAAACGTGATTTTTTCTTTTGATTTTTAATGACTTTTCGTCTCCGTTTGTAATAATTTTTCGGCATGCGCCTTTTATGACGGTTTCACTTTTGGGGCATTAAATATATTTTATGAGGATTGATCAACTTCATATCCCGTTCGACTTAAATATTCGGATATTAAATACAAAAGAACTCAAATTAATGATTTAGAGATCAATTCGGAAGTTGGTGGGAATCGAACCTATGTCCTTAAAAACCAGGATTTCAATTAATCTATTACGGATCTATTTGGCCACAAATGCCATGATTTCTAATTGACAGATTCGCTTACATTTAGCTCGATACCTTAATTTCTCTAAGTTTACACAATTAAACCTTCAAAAAGCCTGAAATTCTGAAAAATTGTCTTCTTACCTGCCCAAGATTCACTATCATAGCTTGTGCTTATTTTCCTACAAAAAAAATAATAAATCATCATCCATAAAAATCACATTCCGAAAAAAAAAACTCACTCAACATAAGCTGACGAGAATTTCTTTCCCTCATTCAAATCAAGCCTGATTATAGCATTTGAGAAATGATTATTTCCCTCAAGGCACACGAAATTCTTTCTGTCAATAATTCTGACTGGAAATATTGAAAGCACATCAAGATCCATATACAATCCACCATATTTATATAATGTCAAGATCCTCATGACATCTGATGTATGTTCAATCCTGAATTTTGATTTCTCTAATTTATTTTCAATCATAAACTGCTCCAATGGAGTTCCGATTGAGAATTCCAATAAATTTATGTATCGGATGTGAATATTTGGATATGCAGCTAGTGCCTCGTATAATGGTGATCGAATCATTGTCATTTGAGTCTCATTAGTGGCAAGGAGGAGATATATTTGTAGGTCAGGATTTGTTCTTGCTGTAAGAAATTAAGATTAAGTTAAAGTTTGAAATTAAAGTGTTTCCTTAGCAAAAGAAAGAATCTGTTTGATGATCTTATTGATCTTGGATGAATTTGACTCAGATTTTAACCGATTTCAATTTAAAAGCTCTAGTCAAGTTTGCTCGTGTCAAATATCATGAAACAATAATCATAACGAGTAATTCCCACAGCAATAAAGTGACAATAAGCCATTATTCCCTATTTCTTGTAGTTAAACAAACTTATCGATTAATTTGTCATGAATTTCGATTGCATAACCAAACATTAAAAGGTAGCCATAATTGAGGTATTTAAACAAAATAAGCATGACTAGAAATCTAGTAATAAAGAAATTCAACTTTAATAATATTTTAAAAGTTCAAATAAAAAATTGTCACGACTAGCTTTGATAAAGTTCTGAGTAAATCACGATTTGAAATTTCCAAAAGTAAAGTCAATTCTTCGCATTATTTTTAAACTTAATCTAGTTTTCTAAAGTGTAAAGATAGTCACAATCAAGTTTTGTTTACATTACAATGTTTAAGATCAAGATTTGAGTGCTTTGGATGATTCTTGAAGCTTTTATTGTCGGGAATTTTAAGTATTTTGCTTTCTATATTCACTAAATTCTTTTGAAATAGCTTCAAAAGCTACATGTTCAATCGTGGAACTTTTAAGAAGACTATTGTAGCTATTAAGCCGATTGTGATTCAACTAGACATTAATTTAGAGTTCATTTTAGCAAAAATACTAAAATCAAAAGATTAGCTTCTATTTGAATTAAAGAACTCTTGTTTTTGTCTATAAACTATATTAGCGGTAGTGCAAATAAAAGTAGAAGAGATTTTAAGTTGACGAAAATAGTAGATCAACTTTCAAACGCTCTTTTAGGATTTTGATCGATTTTTTGGATGATTGTGACAATAAAGCTAATCTTACCTGCTGACTCAACACTATAAATAAGAAAACAAGAAAAATTCATTAAGTTTCCAAAAATCTTTCGTGTTTAAACCGTCAGTCAAACCTGCAAGCTTGTCTAGCACTCGTTAAGTTCCGTCTTCCATCCAAATGTGTTTCCAAGAAGAATATTTGTGAACTATTGGAATTCAACAGCGTAATTTCATCATCCATGATGTTTTTTATTAGGAATTCAGAATCATTCATGAAAAGTCCAATTTCACTTTTATTTTTCACAAAATACATGCACAAATAAATCGTTGCAGCAACAAGTGTCACAAATATAAAATATTTTTGTAGAGATCCTGTGAGATTTCTGTTCATGATTAAAGTCTTTTGAAGTTTACTCGGGAAAGTCTGAAGTTAAACTATTTAAATTATGGAAATTTCGTCTCAACTTTGTCATGAAATTTCTCACATTTTTTAGTTTAAAATGTCACGTTTATTAAATAAAAGAAAGTGCTTATGAGTTATAAAGCAGTCTAATATTTATTAAAGCTTATTGAAGGATTTACAATGCAATTAAAAGTCAATGACATAAAATTATTGCAATTAAAAATTTAAAATGAGACATTTAGGAATAGGGTTCGGAAATCTACAGTTATTAACAGTTAGTAACACTTATCTACAGTTATCTACAATTTGTAACTGTAGATAAGTAACTGTAGATAATTTTTTCAAAGTGGAAAAAAACGTTTTTAATTTACTGAAAAAAGAGTTGAAATGCTAAAATCAGGACTGCAACAGCATGTAACAGTTCAAATAAAGTGACATTAGGCTTATTCAGTATTTTAAAAGCGTTTGTGTGGTGATTTAATTGAAAATTAAGAAATTTTCGCAAATTTTTTTTGTTTACAAACATGTGAACAATATTTGAATTTCATATAACCGTTACAAATATTCGATAAACAAAAAGTTGATTTTTAATAGCTAATGTTGACATTTGAGCTCTCTTAATGTATAATAAGTGTATTCTATATATAAATTTATTAAAAAAGTCTCCAAAAATTGTTTGTTTACAAAACTTTGCAAATTTTTTTAACGGATTTTCTTCATTCAAAGAAATTATCTACAGTTTACTAACTGTTGATAACTGTAGATTTTGTGTAGATAATCTAAAAGTTGATAACTGTAGATAATCAGTTAGTGGTTTTCCGAACCCTATTTAGGAATCACATTTGATGCACATGACTTCAAAAGCTTTGAAATTACGTCAAACCATGAAAACTTCTACTTTGATTTTTGAAAAAAGCGAGGCAACTGCATCCTCTAAGTAAGTCCTTGTTAGCGACGTGCCTAGTTTTGGTCACGATTAGAAATACTTTTTTGCATTGTTGACATTGAAAATTCAAAATCATCATTCTGTTGTCTTTATTACTTCCTTGAGACTAGAAAATTCCATTTTCAATTCCTTTTCAAGTTTATAACTTATAAAATATAGAAATTGACAGTTATTTAACGATAAAAAATTTGAATTCAAACTATTCAGCTGAATTCAGCAAGTTCAGCATTTTGAATTCTACAAATTTAAGCTCCTCCATTTAAGAAAATAGCTTGAAATTAACACGAATGACTTTTTTTATGACTTCTAAGAGTATAGGAAGTTCTGGACTTTCTAAGTGCTTCCAATGACAAATTGTGTTAACCGACAATTTAAATTTGAAAAACACATTGTTTACAAAAAATTTTGTCCAATTTATTCAGTGAAAAATCTGTGATTTAAGTGCTCAATAGCTATATAAACAGAATATTGTGCGTCTCTAAGTGTTCTTAAGTTAATAATAAGCAGGACTAAACTGTAATTCAGTAAAAATATCAAGAATTATTCAAATTAAAAAGGAAAATTCTCAAATTTACTGGATCTTGATATAAAGCTACTTTTGTAAGCTAAACGTGCGTTCAAAAGATCAATTAAGCATGGCTCGTATAGTTTTGCATCTACATGTAAGGAGAAGTATCCATAAAAAACAAAAATAGTGAGGTTTGGTAATAACGACATTCTAAAATTCATATTTTTCGTAACAATTTTTCCCACTCCTTATTTTCTTGAACATTGTGAAAATCAATGAATTATAAGTTATAATCTCTTTAGACTTAACTATTGAACATTTCCTTCAAATCAGCATCAAAAAGTCCCCAAAAATTAAAGCAATGACTTCAAGTACTATCGAACTTTTGATATTCAAAATCACAAATTTAACGAAACTTTTTAACTTCCACGCGCAGTTTGCGGATCGAATAAATCGAAAGTAGAAATTATTTTCATTCAATTTAATCATTTTATTAAAATAACAGTTAATATAAGTCACTTAGTTTCATTATTTTTGCATCATACGTTAGATATAATTAAAATCTATCAAAATGATGGTGAGTACGGATCATAAACAACGGAAATACCCAAAAATATTGTACAAAAATATTTGCCAACACAAAAAAAGTTTGATAAGAAAAAGTCACAAAGATCCAGTGATTCATCTTCTGTGTATTACTGTCAATTTAGTACTCATTATCTAATTTATTTGATTAGGACGGTGATGATGATTCGGGCAGTCCACAAAAAATTGTCCAGGAAGCAAATAATGAGACTGAGACAACAAAAACTCAGCCACAAGAAGCTCTGCCAGAGAATTCATTAGTTGTGGAAATATCCGATGCATTGAGCGAAAAGGATCGTGTATGGACGAGTTCATTGAGTTATCTACAAATTTTATTTCATGTTTCATTGCCATTTTAGGTCAAATTCACTGTACATACAAGAACAACGATGGCTGTAAGTCGCTAATAATTGAATTAACTGCCTTACATACTAATTTATGATATTTTGTAGTGCTTTGCAAAGCAAGACTTCTTAGTTGTGCGTCAGCATGAAGAATTTGTTTGGTTGCATGACAGATTCGAGGAGAATGAAGAATATGCTGGATATATAATACCTCCAGTTCCGCCACGTCCTGATTTTGATGCTTCTCGCGAGAAACTGCAAAGACTTGGTGAGGGCGAGGGATGCATGACAAAAGAAGAATTTAAGAAGATGAAAGCCGAACTTGAGGCTGAATATTTAGCAACTTTTAAGAAGGTGGGTCTAGTTAAGCTTAATTTTCTGACTGATGTGAACAATTCTAGTTCCAATGACATCAGAACTTTTTAACGCCAATGGAAATTCAAATTGTAACGGTTTTATAAAATTCAAATTTTACCGGTTCTGATTCTAAATTCATGTCCATTGAAATTTGAATTTTATAAAGCCGTTACCATATGTACTTTTAAGGAACAAATCTTTCTTTATTTCAAATTTGGAATTATTGTAGTTTAAGTTACATTTCTTTGAGTCTTATTTTGACACCAGCCTGAATACGGCTTTAATTCAACTATATCTTGATTAATTATTAATTTTGATGAATGAGATTTACATATATCATGAAAATGTGGCATAAAAAGTTTAAAAAAAGTTGCCGAGCGAGAAAAAAAAAAGCTTTTTTTTAAGCTTATGAACTACGTTAATAAATTATTTTTGAACTGGCTTATTCGGTGCTGGTGGGCAGCTCATGAAGCCATACTTCACCATGAGTTCAAATGCAGTTCCTTTGGTGCATCCTTTGGGATCTTTCCGGCTTCGTCTACGAAACTGCAGAACTGATTTATTGCTTCTTCAATGTTGGGGATTCTCTTTAGACGTTCTTGAGCTTCTGTGAATTTCTTGAAAAGGCTTTCATTCTTTTTGCTTCGTTGAGTTTCTCTGCATAACTGATATTATTGATCAGTTGTTGCCGATTAATCTCTACTTGAAATGTTGCTGGTGAGTTACTTGCAGCATTCACTGGATGTGAATGAGCAGAAACTTGATGTCGTTTGCTTAACGATGGAAAATTGTTACTGTCCAAAAGACTTGATATCTGTGGCAGCATTTTGAGTTGTGGTTTGGCTCTTGACTTTTCGATTCTTTTGGAATACGAAATGAACGATGGGCACAGTCTATAACTGGCAGCATGATCGCCATTGCAATTAATGTACTTGGCATTTCCATCACGAGTGGATCGTTGACATTGATTTGGTCCGTGAACTACCGTGCACTTGACGCATCGGAACTTATATCCACAATTTTGAGAGGAGTGACCCCAACGCTGGCAGTTGAAGCACTGCGTTGGGCTTTTGTTGCCCTTCTTGATGTTCTCCCACTTGACGATGATGTTGTCGATGTTACGGTGGTTATGATTGAGCACGTTGATGTTCACACTTTCATCTTGAAAATGCACAAGATAAAAGGTGAACTCGGGCTTCTTGACGAGAATTGTCACTTTGACAGCTGAAACCTTGGCTTCTTGAAGTAATCTTAGTACTTCATTCGTTGGTGTTTCGTAAAATCCTTTCAGAACGAATGACTTTGTTTTCTCCGATTTCTCGGAGAAGGTGTGGAATTGAATAGTTTGAGACCGCAGAAGGTTTATTATTGAGGCCTTATCCTCAATAGACTTGACAATTACTTGAGTTGTATTTGATGATGAAATTTTATATGCAGGCATAACCTGCAATTTCAATAGTGAAATTAATTTTCTCACATCCTTGAGACTGCATTGCACAAATATTGGCTTGACTGAAATTGTTGTTGTGACTGGAACCGATGATTCCTCTTTCTGAGGCGATTGCTTCCTCTTCTTGGAATTTTCATTAGATTTAATTGAACTTTCGTCCAAATCAATTTTTGGCGACAAATCTTGCTTTTTTTTGACTTTCCTCATTTTCCTTGAGGAAAACACAACCCTTGGCACTTAATAAGAAGTTTTTCTCAACTAATATAACTTGGAAACTGTTTAATTAATTTAATAAAAATGTTCCACGTTTTTAAGCGCGGGGCTTGAAACTTCAATTTTGTATTTTTAAAAGTCTGCTTCAAATCAAATTTTTACAACAGTTTATAACTTCAATCCTTAATTTCTCCCTTTTCAGACGGTTGCTATGCACGAAGTATTCCTTCAAAGACTATCTGCACATTCCGTATTCCGTACTGATTCACATTTAAAAGTTTTCCTTGAATATGATCAAGATTTGTGCGCAAAGCCACGTAAAAAGATGGATTTAATAGGCGGATTAGTTCGTAATTTAAGTAAGACAACCGATGAGCTGTACTTAGGTGCGACTGTACGTGATGTCAATGACTTTTTCGAGAATGAAATGCAATTTTTGACTGAATATCATGCACATTTAAAAGAAGGTGCTACTCGTAGCGAGCGAATGGCTAAGAAGCATAAGGAACTTGCTGATAGTTATATTAAAATTTCGTCATCTCTAATCCAGCTCTCGACAACTGAATCTGGTTCAATGGAAAAGTTTTCAGCTAAAACAGCAGATATATTTGAGAAAATGAGAAATATGGAAGGACGTGTTGCTAGTGATCAAGATTTAAAGCTTGTTGATACACTAAAGTATTATCAAAGAGATAGTAATGCAGCCAAGGCATTGTTGGTGCGTAGATTAAGATGTTTGGCTTCGTACGAAAATGCAAATAGGAATCTCGAGAAAGCACGTCAAAAGAATAAAGATGTTCATGGTGTAAGTTGTGATTTAATTCTTGATTTATATTTAATCTTATTAAAATAACTTTTTAAATGATTTAATCGCATGCAGCCTTTGGAAGTTCAAGAAGTATTGACTAATATTAATTTATGCATTGTTAATTTCTAGACTTGGGACGAATATGATCTTAAAAACTTTATGGGCTTGGTCGTTTGTTGAATAAGTGTCAGAAATCAAAAAATGTTTACGTTCTCTCTTCCTGGATATCAACGTAATTATCTCAATAGTTAGTGTTATAAAGTTTTTGAAACTAGCATTTTCATGTGCATAACATATCACAAAGTCTTTTAATTAACCCAGAAAATCCAAAAAACTATCCATTTCTGACACTGAAAAAAAGTTCCATTATTTTGAATTTTCACAAAAAATACTAATAACTTTGTGAAAACTTCATTACAAGATACAAAAATCATATCAAATTGTAGGATTTTCAATTGTTTCTAATCCTTTGCTATTAAAATCTTCAAAATGCTTGTTTAAATTAGTTAAATTAATGATTTTTCTAAAAAACTTTTTTCATAACGGTCAAAATTTGAATTATTCCATTCGTTTGTTTACATCACAAAAAAATATGTGAATTAAAAAAATCGTTTGAAACTTATTAATTACACATATTTGGAAGCTGAAAAATTAGGAACAGATCAAGGAAAATTTGTTGGATGCATTACAATACTCAAAAGAAAACATTGATATTAATTTAAATGATATTTTGCAAAATAATTTTTCATTTTATTGAAGAGGAAAGTAACAAAAATTGAATTTCAAAAAAACCCGTTGAAATTCAATGGAACTTTTTATTCGACCGAGCCCTTAGAAGTTGCTGTTAAAAAATAACGGTGAAAAGCTATTTGAATATTAAAGGTTAAAAATTATTTGAAAAAATAACGTTTATCAAAAATTTGAATTTTTTTAAAAAATTAACGATTATTCTGAATTTTAACAAAATCAGCAGCACAAGTTATTAAGAACTTTTCGAGTCTCAAAGTATTCCTTATTAAGTTTAAATCCACCCCAAAATAATCTCAATTTTTCTAAATCTACAGGCCGAGGACATCCAAACAAAAGCTTGTGAGAAATTCGAAGCGATGTCGGCGAGAGGAAAGGAAGAACTAATGTCATTCCGTAAACGACGCGTAGCTGCCTTTAAAAAGAGCTTAATAGAACTTGCCGAATTGGAAGTAAAGCATGCCAAAACCCAATACGATTTTCTACGTCAAAGCCTCGAAGATAGCTTAATAAAGTTGCAAGATATCTAAAAAATTTGGTTTGCAGCTTATTTGTGTGTCCATGGAACAAATTGTGCTTTTTTGATAAATTCTATGCAAATCAGCTGTGCAAAAAAAACTAAAACAACAATATTATATTTAACTATTAATACCTAGTATTGATAAGATGGAAAAGATTTTTCTAAATATTATTCCTCATTATGCATTATTTTGATTATGATTATTATCATTTAATGAGATATAAAAAAATTATAATTATCAGTTGACTTTTTATACGATAAAATCCTCAAACTGCTGCTTCCTTATCAAATTTGTTATTCTGTGGATTTAAAAAATAATTATTTAAGCAACAAAAAGCGTCGGAGACAATTTGAGTGATTTGAATATTGTGGTTTAGGGGTCGACCGTTAACTGGATACACCCCCTGCTGTGGATTTTGTCTTCAGCTTGTCCATCCATCATAATCATCTTATAGTCGTCTACAAATCAGTGAGCAAATGCTTTATAGCAGCTTGGGATGCTCCAATTATGAACTACTCCAAAGCTTGTTTGAAAACAAAATCTGACAAAATTTGAAGAGGATACAAAAGCAATAATCTAAAACATCAATTTCCAAAAGGAATTTAAGTAGTTCAATGGAAAACTCGTGTTTTTCTCAATTCGATACGCAATTTTATTGCTGATTTCAAGGAATCAATATTTTTATACATAAAGTGGTGAAAAATATCAAATTGAACTATGGTAATAAATCCTGGAAAATAAGTAATTAGTAGCTAGGATTTTAATCCTCATCGATAAATTTAACAGGCTATCAGAAGTGGATTTTGAAAATAATTAGAGCAAATAACTTAAAGAATTCCTGTTTTATTAAAATACAGCATGATTTTTTTTTTGAAAATGATAACGGTTTTCAAAATTTTGAATTTTCAAAATAAAAATAACGGTTTTTAAAAATTGAAAAATATCGTTAAAAATTCAAATTTACTGAATCCGTTTCATCCAATTGATCTGAGAACAATAGAATAGGAGGTAAAGAAGTGACCTTGACCTTTCAACAAATCACTTCATTTCGTCTAGAGATTCAAGTAAAGTAATTCATACTTTACAGTCTGTTGAAAACTACATATTTAAATATCTTAAAAGTTAAAAGCATTGGTAGCATTTCTGAGATAAAATAATTAAAAATACCTAGAATTATAATAAAATGTATATTATTTCAAATTGATTATATTACATACATTTTGTGAAATGCTGATCAGGGGCTTAGCTGGAATTGAGATGAAATACAGTTTTATTATCGATTCTCGACTCATTATCAATGCTTGCGTATCTATAAATTATTAAACATCTGATGGTTTTCCCACAGTGCATATTGCCTCAAACAACGATGCATTCTTTGTTGCTCTACACGTTCTATTAATCATTTATAATTTCTATATTTTATTATATTCCTTTTTTTACAAAAAACTTTTTTTAAAAAAAATATTGTGAAAAGAATAAAACAAGAAAGTTATTTACTTTAATTTATTTATTCGTATCTGATTTGTACCTAGCTTTATAAAGGCAAAATCAAATTATTACTAATTGCTCTTTAGTTGGTTCCATTTTTCCTTAGAATAGTATTTTAAAGGGTTGAAGAATTTTTCGTAGCAACAAGCAAACAAATTTAAATTAATATTCAATCTAGAAACGGGTCTGTTCAGTTATTCAGTCACTGTTACTATTTGCGCAATACAATAAAATCCAGTGAAAATCCTGACAAAATTAATCCAATACAATAAGATCCAGTGAACATCCAGACAAAATTTGCGCAATACAATTAGATCCAGTGAACATCCAGACCAAACTAAGGTAACAGAATTTCCACAAAAAACATCACTTAAAATTCTTCCACCTCAACTACTTGACATTATTAACTGATTGAACCCATAAAATATCCATCATAAACAAATGTCGACATTCTAACCTAGTAACTCGATGCCATTTCACTTTTAACTTCACGACACCTTGTCCTCATTAAAGTGATCCGATCGTAAACTTTGGTCGTGAATTTTGAATTATCGCACAACATTTTCGCATCATATTTCCTAAACATTGGATATTGCGCAATCAATTTCGTTTTTGGGGTGAAGAAAGCAACTTTGGAATTAAACGGAAGTTCCTTTTGAGCAATTAAATTTGTTTTTGCTGTTTCATAATTTTTATGTCTATGAAAGTCTAGTTCCGTTGTAGACACTAAGTTATCAAGATATGGATAATATCCGGCAGTGTTTGCGTGAAATGTTTCTCTCGAATAATGTTGAATAGGCGGTGGATGAACTGCTGTTGGCAGTTTCATTTCTCTTGGCAATCTCGTAAATGCGTCAGAATCTCCTGCACGACTTTTGTACAAATTCAATGGCTTAATAAGCTTATCAGCTTTCATTTTATCCGTAAATTGATGAATGTATCGAACCTTCTCAATCGGTGCTGCTAATTCCACTCGAAAGTTTCTACTCGGATTGATTTTCCATGGATATTCCTTCGTACTTTCACTGACTGGTCGATAATCAGCTCGAGAGTTTTTCAGTTCACTGCACAAGCTATGCGATTTAAATGGAATAAAGTTCCTTTCATTTGACAACTTGAAGCGATGTGCACGCGACGAGGATGTCCTGTAATCACTCTGATGATAGATCGTTGGCTGCAGATAATCAACATCCATTATTTTGTGAGAATCAACTTTTTTTTTGTATTCAATAAACTCGAGTCAACAAATTAGCTTAAATAGAACAGAAAATTTGTGCTGCTATGGAGATTGTGTTGTTGCTAATAAAATTACCAGTGCATAGTTACATATATGCTGCATACAACATGTCATACGATGACAAATATTTTGTTTGATCAAAAATGAGCAACAAGTGGAAATAAACAAAAAATTCATTCAATGCTGAACATTCTATTTCTATCAGAGTTTGAAAATAAAATGAAAATTGCTCTATTTTGAAAATAAATCAAAATGAAAATTATGAAAATTGCCAATTTTGATCAAAGCAATTTTGCAATTTTGTCAATTTCAGAAAATTGCAATTTTGGAAATTGTTTATTTTTCAAAATTGCAATTTTGGAAATTATCAATTTTTATTTTTGTGACGTGAAATTGAGGAATTGGAATTTTTCAATAAACTGCATTTTGAATCAAAATATTTGGGTTTTGAGGGACATCATTCCCTTTTGATAGAAATAATCAAGAACAAATTGTAAATACTCGGAAATCTGAAATTCAACACAAGCAGTTGAGGAAACACTTGGTGTCTTCGAAAGACGAATACTGCGAGCGATTTATGGTCCTGTGAAGGAAGGAGAAAAGTATCGAAGTCGACATAAAGCTGAGCTTAATCATTTATTTTAAGAAGCTGTTAAAGTTCTCCGTGTAAATCGCTTGAGATGGGCTGGACATGTGTTCGGACCACTATATGGATGTCAAGAGATTACGGGGAAGACCGAAGATATCGTGGATTGGATATGTTAAAAAGGACGCTCGAGTCCTTAATATCCCGAACTGGCAGAAGGATAGAGCTGTCTTCAGACGATTTCTAAGCGCTTCAATGGGCCCACGTGCGCCCAGCCAAGGAAAAAGATGAATTGTAAAAACTCCGAACTGTATGAACTCCCATCAGAATGACTGTTTAAAATAACCAGTAGAATCTGAAAAATGCTTTTCAAAAATCAGCAATGCGGACGGAAATTTAAGGTATTTTCCTATAGTTTCATCTTTTTCTGCATGAAATGTAGTTCAAGTACAAACTATCTCCAAACTAAAGTAGAGCCCAGATACTATATTTGTGTTTACCCAACTGTCTCTAAACTCCTTCAAATACATGAAATAAATTTCTCATTTTAGTTTTCGACAGAAGTTAGACAAGCTAATAATGAGAATTACTTGGTATAAAATTTCGAGAAACTTTTCTAAATTTTACTGGATTCTACTACTAGCTTGTTGCGTATTTACAATCTACAAATACAAAAGGTCGTCTGCTGGAAGCCAAAATCATTTACAAAATGCATCAAACATTCAAGCACACAAAAGTGGAAACGATTTAGCAGAAGATTCTTCTGAATTTGATGAAATTCCATTGGCAAATAGAATCATATATCTCAACAATATTACAGTTGACGTGCTAAAGCCGAAAAATAAGAGGAATGTGTTTTTCGTATTTGATGCCATCACAGATAGTCGTAGACGAAAAAAATTGAATTTCAGAGAAATTTGCTCAATTGAATCAGCTGGTATGTAATTTTATTTGCAGTTTATTGTTCCAGGGGTGGCGAATGGATGATTAAAATGGTTCTAGATTTGTTAAGCATTGACTTAAAACTTGAAATGGATCATTGATCTTAAGATTTATAGTTCTAACAATAAGTTGTTCTTAGTTGTCTTTTAAAACATTATATATATGTTTATCTGTACTTTGTTTTGATTCTAACCCAACTAAAATTCCACTGGATCTTAGTTTTTAGTTCCAAATATGACTATATCCTACTGGATCTTTCTTTTAAATTCCGGTATGATTTCAATATGAATTTATACTAGTTTCATACCATTCAAAGCTGCACAGTCCATAAATAGTAGTGATATGGTCAATAAGTTGCCATCCACAGACTATGTCAATCTGTCTATCCCATTCTCAATCTGATAATTCTCTTGATTATTTTTCAGTTTTGAAGCATCCTGATCACATCATATTCATAATCTATCTGACGTATGACAGCATCGTAGAGCTTCAAATCACCAAATCATTTTATGGACTTCCATACAAAAATATTCGATTTGGAAAGCTGAATGTCAATCAGTTCTTAGCTGAGACTCCATGGAAAAATGTTGATGTTCAAAATATTTTTGGAACTTTCAAGGACATCTCAAAACTTATTCGGCTTCTTTTGTTGTGGAAATATGGAGGCATATACATTGACAGCAAAATGATTGTTAAAGAAAGCCTCAAAAATCTTAAGATTTTTTTATGTAACGATGATACAGGCTCAACAGCTTACAACGTAATGGAGTTTGAAGAGAAAAATATTGTAGAAATATTCATCAACAATACTTTGAGGGACTTCACAACAGGCAACAAAGCGACTTCATTGTTTACCGCAAAAATTGTTGAAAAGTTATGTGAAAATTCAAAAAAAGAATATAACAGGAAAGCTTGCAAAGGATTTAAAGTCATGTCAAAGGAATTCTGTTATCCACTATCCGATGATATCATTTGGCAGCTATTTGATGAAAAATATAAAGGGAACATAATGATGTTAGTAAAAAAATCTGCAATTATTAATATGTGGAATGAAAAATCAGATACCACAAACGTTGACAAAACAAAGCATACAGCTGCTGCAGAAATAATGAAAGAATATTGTCCACAAACATTCGGTGTTGTATGGAAAAATGAATTTTAAAAATTAACCTTTAAGTTTGAATTATAATTGCAATAAAGTTGGATTTGTAAACCGCATTCAGGTTCTACATATCTTCAACAGATCCCTATCAACTCTGATTTGATACGCTCACTGCAACTCTATGTATGTCTCACCTTGAACTCAACAAAATGAAAAATATTTTCCTATTTTCAGCAATGCTCAATTCATACTTTTTTTCTACGCACATAAACAGAAATTGAATAAATTTTATCAAGTAAAGTCGAAGCTTATTTTATGTAATCTCTGAAAATTGAAAATATGTAAATTGATTGCTGAAAATAGGAATCGGCATGCAGCTTTTTACTGAGTTTTTCTAAATTGTTCTGAGATTTCTGTATAAATATCATGTAAAACTGAATCTCCACTGAGACAACTCATACATGATAATTCTGAGATTATTTACTAAAAGAATTTGGATTGGATGTAAATGTTTTCGTTCAAGACTCTTGCTGGCAATTTTATCAGTTTAGCTCAGTGGTAGCCAACCTTTCATGAGCCGTGGCAAACCTTGGTAGTTAATCATATCACAGGTTGGTCCATCAATGGTCTAGCTACTTTTTTGGATTATTTTTTCATGATCTCTAGCATTTTTAAGGAAAATAAGATCTTAAGTTGCCGAACATTCAGGAAATTTCGAGGGGGTAACAATATGATGGGTAAAATTTTTGTCGAACATTCAGACTTTTTTCCAAGGGGAAGACAACATTATGGGAAAAATATTGAGAGCCTGCATTTTTTTCAATAATGTAGTCTTCCCTTGCCAGTTTTCAATCAAAATTATTTCCCATGATGTTATTCTCCATCGCCTTCAAGTCTTCGTAAAAAGGTGCCTGCATAAAATTTGCGGCATCTTTTACTCGGAGCTTATAAGCTGTTATGGGCAACAGGAAATGGGGCTGGATTGGTCACACGTTAAAGAAAAGACCCTGCAGATATAACGCGACAAGCTGTATTCTGGAATCCACCAGGTAAGCGAAAACCTGGTAGACTTAGTGCTACTTTGCAATCAACTATTCGTAAAGAAGCGACTCAGCAGGGCTATCAACTCAGTGAGCTTGCAGCATTTGAAAGCAATCGCGTTAGATTCAAAAGTTTCGTAAACGCGCTATATTCACAGTGGAGTAAAAGGACATAATAATCATGTTGTTCAATTGAGTTTCTGTAGAAAATCGAAAGTTTTGCATCCCTTTAAATTAAATAAACGCTTCGATTCATGAGATTTGTGATTTAATTGAAGATGTCATGATTGTCCTTCTCCTTACTAAATCACTTTGACATCGCCCATGGCTAAAATATTTGGATATCCCCAAATTTAAGCTTCAACAATAGATATTTTTTAATCTCAATCATAAAAACCTCATTTTTTTGTTATAAAATTTAATGTGGTGTGAGGTTAGACCAGAAATAAAAATATCTCTGAATTAAATTGGCATAGCTATAAATGTTCAGTAATTTGAGTACTCTTTTCAGTATCAGTATCCACAATAAATCTCGGAAAAAATCTCTCAATTTTAGACGTAAACTTTTTATAGCTTCATGGTTTCAAGGCATAAAAGATTTTTTTTATTTTTAGAATAAACAATTTATAGTAATCGTGGAAAAGTTTTGGCAAACAAAAAAGCTAACTCAGCGCTTTTAATTATAGATAAGGAAGCTGCTAAGGGGCCGTTCACTTATTACGTTCGCATTTTAGGGGGGAGGGGGGGTTTGAAAAATTGTAAAATATTGTAACAAGGGGGGAGGGGAGGGGGGAAATTCGTTTTTTTGCGTAACGTAATAAGTGAACGGCCCCTAATGGGCCAAATCAATTACTTAAAAACTTTCAATATTCATGATAAAGGATTTTAATTTATCATTCGTGTTTTTATGAAATTCAGGCTTTGGGGTAGCATGTGTTCCACTCCCCTTTGTCAACATAGCTCAGATAGATCAGGAACTCTAAATTATCCGTTCATCTTCTCTTGCCACGCTGCTTTTATTGACACACCTGTGATTCTTCAACAAAGCAGCAGAACAACGTCGAACATTGTTTTAGAAACACTGCAATGTAGTTTCAATTAAATTTACATTTATAATGTTTCTAGGATTAAAGTTATCAGAGAGAATCTAGAATTACAGAGTCATAACCCAAAAAGGAAAGATGGGGATTTGTGGGATCCGAACCACTCCTTTCTCATTTTCTCATAGAGCGACAACAAATGAATTGAAACTTGTAAGTGCTCACGATTTAGACAGTTATTAAAATCAGATCATAGAATTCAGCAATAACTACAAAAAAAATTTGTAATAGTCACCCAGACAGCAACTCTACAAGAGATTACTTTACTCAACCACAAAAAATTCATTCACTTCATTTTAACTTATGCAAGAATTTTCTCAGGGGCCGTTCACTTATGACGTCTATGGGGGGGGGGGGGGGGGTGGTTCAGCAAAAGAACAATAGAAATTCCTGGAAATCCATTGTTCTTTTTTGAAAAATGACCGTTAATTTCGGACGTCATAAGTGAACAATCCCTCATGTTATTTTACTGCATACTTTTCTATAATTTCTTGCATTACATGTGATATTTATGTAATTTAAATTATTCTGAATACAAATTGAAACCTTGGAATGTTTATGCTGAAAATACTTTGGTATTTATTCAAGCCTTGCTTCAAGGTATTCCTTCAAGCCATGCAGTTATAACAAGGGGATAACAACATATTGAAAAATAATTTTAGTAGGAAATTGGAGGGAAATCAATTTTTGAACAAAATAAAAAAACTTCAAAGCACAAAAAATCAAAATAATTTCCCATGACGTTGTTTCCCCCTTGAGAGTTAAATAATTTTTGCGTAGATGTTTTTTTTTTGCTTTGAACGTCAAAATTAAGAATAATATGATTTTTTAGAACTTCCTTTTTAACATTTTACAGAGTCTATTGTCAAAATAAAGAACAGCACTAAAACCATCAATTTTTATTAGAACTAGCAAAAAAAAATTTTTTCATCAAGTCAATCGAGCTTTTTCTATGTCAATGACAATGAAATCTAAGCATCACAAGTTTTATGGATTACTGTGCCATAAAGAGAAAAGTAGAATATTTTATCATGTTGATGTAAAGGAATAAGAAGAATTATTTCCGGATGCTCGTAGAAGCTTTTAACATTTCCATTCATTTCGATCTTCTTCTCATTCCGAGCATCAATTTTCATGAAGATATATGCTTTTATCGTAACAAGCATAATAGAATAGGAAAGAAAATTGATTATTATTTTTGTAGTGCATTGCAACTTTCAGGTACGGAGTGTAATAAAATTTCGAGGGGGGTAACAACATGATGGAAAAATAATTGAAGAGGTTATTTCATAGTAAACGTCAAATAAAATTTTGAAAGGAATTATTTCGGAAATATTTTTTTAAATATTTTTTTGACCCCCTTGTATTACCCCCCCCCCCCTTTGTTATCCCCCCACACACCTAACTCCTGCCAACATCCCCACATCATTGTCATTTCATAAATTTGAAATTTTTTATTCATTGTGATGTGTTGTGCACAGCACACAAGTACTTGATAAACAAAACAAGACTGCATTTGATAATATTAAGCTCATGCTTCACAATGAATATCACAATATTTATCATATTTTTCAATTATTCTCTTTATAAATAAGATTTAAGAATGATTAATAGCTTTCAAATGTAGTAAATAATCCAAGGGGAGAACAACATGATGGACAGAAGTTTTATTATTAATACCCTTCAGATTTTGATTCTGATTTCTCAGATTGATTCTGATCAAAATATTGTTGAAAAATAGCTATTGTTGTAAATTCCCCTTAAAACAATTTCCCATCATGTTGTGTTCCCCTTGAAATAATCTCTTATTGTCTCTTTTTATTTTTAAAATTTACATATTTTCTTAATATAAATTCACAGTAATAACAATAAGAGCTACCTGCATTATCATTTTCAAGGTTAAAGGACAAAAGAAGACAATTTTGTAATAAAAGATAAAAGAACAGACATAAACCTTTAGGATTTTTGTTTTGGTAATTTTATCAGCACAAGCATTTCTGATGTGAATATTAAGGTTTGTTACTGGTGACTTATTCTTTTCTCACAACTTCCTTCCTGGACACAATAGGTCAGGACACTAGCCCTTGCAAAACTGAAATATGACTAATTTCCAGTCACATGACACACGGATGTAGCCAAGGGAAGGTTTGAAGTAGTCAAAACTCCGTACAATTGTAATTTTGCAACTTTTTCCATATATTTGCTTAAAAACAAGACTTTTTTTAAAAAAAAAATATGTCATTTTCTAAAGGTTGTCCCCCGTGAGAAATCTCGAGAACTTTCAGCATGTGAATCCCAAACAAAACCGAAAGAACAAAGAAATGCAAACAAAAGTTCCTTTATAGCTAATACAAGCTTAAAACCTTGAAAACAAAACATATTTAATGTAATTTGGATGAGCTTTTATTAGTGCCCGCAAATTTCCTTTCTTGTTGAATTCACACAAAGATCTTGGGATATTTTCTGATGGTTGTAAACTTTTATGCCTCTTTTCATTTCGCTCTATGGTTTGGAACAAATATTGACTGACAAATGTGGAAATTCGAACTAACCCGTGATTGACAGAAGCGCATTTTTCTTTGAAACTAAGTTTATTCAATCTTTCCTTTTCATGCTGAATTCTCTAGTTCTGGTTAGGAACTAAAGATACCACAGAGTCACATAAAGACAAAGAGGCCACACACAACCATAAAGACACAGAGAAACACAACCATAGAGACACAGAGACACACAACCATAGAGACACAGAGACACACAATCATAGAGACAGAGGCACACAACCATAGAGACACAGAGACACACAACCATAGAGACACAGAGACACACAACCATAGAGACACAAAGACACACAACCATAGTGACACAGAGAAACACAACCATAGAGACACAGAGACACACAACCGTAGAGACACAGAGACACACAACCATAGAGACACAGAGACACACAACCATAGAGACACAAA